CAAAGCCATCAGAGGTAAACCTCAGTGAGAGTCAGCCCGGAGGTTGCAGTACGGCTATGGCTTAGAGTCTTAGTAAAGTTCTCATTGTTCCCGTGGACGTAGCCTCAATGTAGGTGAACCACGTTATCTCTTGGTGTCGACTTCTCTCGTGCGTGTATGTCTCACTGTGTATGCCTTCTATGTTTGACAGACCCGGCATACGGATAGAGTTGGCTAGTGATACGCCAATCTTCCGTTGTCCCAATCGATATAGTGATATGGAAAGGGACTTGATTTGGAGTCGGACGTTGGAATTATTGGAGGCTGGGTTAGTGGAGTTATCGCATGATGAGTATGCTTCAGCCAGTGTTATGCCGGCAAAGAAGGAAGTACATGACAACTACACGGATAGACGCATGTGTGAAGACTACCGTCCTATCAATAAGACAAAGGCCGATAAGTATGCCATGCCTACACCTAAGGAGATCTTTGATGTGATGGGACATGCAAGGATTTTTTAGTACTTTGGATCTTCGGGCAGGATACCATCAGTTGCCGATTCGGGAGGAGGACAAGGGCAAGATAGCGTTTTGGGTGTCAACTCCCACGGCAAGGAATGTTTGTATCAGTGGCGATTCTTATCCTTTGGGTTGAAGAATGCACCTGCCGAGTTCCAGAGAGTGATGGACATGATTCTAGCGGGGCTAGATTTTGTCAGATGTTATATTGATGATATCTTGGTGTTTAGCGACACGGTGGAGCAACACCAGATACATTTCCAGATTGTGCTTGAGCGGTTGAGGGCTCATGGTTTGCGGTTACATCCTGGAAAGTGTAGGTTCTTCCAGGAGAAGGTGGAGTACTTAGATAATGTGATCTACCCAAGTGGTTTGCGAGTTTCGCAAGCAAAGGTTGAGGCTATTGTGCGCATTTCTCGTCGAGCGGATGTGAGTAGAGTTTGTGCATTCATGGGTTTGGCAAACTATTACCGGAGGTATGTGAAGGAATTCAGTGCTATAACAAAACCTTTAAACCATTTGCTGAAGTCGAATGAGGAGTGGCAATGGGGAGATGAGCAGGAGAGAGCTTTTGTTGAGCTCAAGGCCAGGTTGGTGGCCGCTCCCATCTTGAGGAGATCTATAAGATGTCATCCATATCAGTTGCACACTGATTGGAGTATGTTGGGACTTGAAGCGGTGTTGACGTAGTGTGATGATGAGGGCAAGGAGTTTGTGGTTGCGTACGCTAGTCGTTCGAACAATGCAGCAGAGTCGCGGTATAGTTTGTACGAGGGAGAGTGTTTGGCAGCGGTGTGGGCTGTGGCACACTTCAGGTGTTACTTGTTTGGTACGCAGTTTACCCTTGTTACCAATCATCAACCGCTCAAGTGGTTGATGAAGTCCGACAAGCTCAAAGGGAAGCTTGCACAGTAGGTTTTCGTCTTACAGGAGTACGACTTTCAGGTGCTGCATAGGCCTGGAGTTGCGAACTTGGATGCTGACGGTTTGAGCGGGAACCCATGCACTAGCCAAGAGGATGACACTTGAGCTAGATGGCATGGTGAGGTAGATGAGGAGATGCTGCCCGATTGGCATGCATCTGCCTTCATGTGTTGGTTACATGGGGCCTCTAGTAGGGAAGACCACTTGACATCTTACTCTAGTTAGAGAGTAGATAGTCAATCTTTGGAAATTGAGGTGGAGGATGGTGGTGTGGATCAGCGTGATTTTCACGATGATGCCTTGGTGTTGGAGTTCCTACGGATCAATATGGTGCCAGGTAGATTGAGTGCCAAGGAGCAAGATCGTGTTCTCCAACGGGCGAAGAGATACTGATTGGAGGGATCACATGTTCTCCGAGTGTGGGAAGACGGTAGGGTACGAGTAGTACCCCATCCATCTCAGAGAACACGCATTGTGAGACATGCTCATGAGGAGTTGGGACATTTTGGAGTGAAGCGTACGTACAGCTTACTCCTTTGTCAGTATTGGTGGCGTGGTATGCATACACAGGTACAACAGTTGGTATCACGTTGCATGGTTTTTGATCTAGTGAGGGCATCGTTCAATGCCCCGACACCAGAGTCACATCCCTTACGTATCATGGGATTGGATTACTGTTGGAGTTTAGACTTTGCTGGACCACTACCTTTGATTGCACAACATCATAGGTATGTGTTGGTGATGATGAAGCATTTCTCCAAGTGGATTGAGTTGGTGGCATTACCTGACAAGGCGAGTGAGGGAGTAGCATATGTTTTTCTTGACAGGATGCTTAGTCACTTTGGTGCACCAGTTGAGGTGTTGACCAATTAGGGGACAGAGTTCCAGGGTGAGTTTTAGATCTTGTGTGACAAGACGTTGATTGATCACCGGACTACTTCCCTAGATCATCCAGAGGCGGATGGTTTGGCTTAGCGGGTTGTACAGACGGTGAAGAGAGCGTTGCGCAAGTATGGCCTACAGAAGGGGCATCTTGGGGACTGGGATATTCAGTTACCATGGCTGGCCATAAGATATCAATTCAGTCGTCAAGCATCCTTGGCTTTGTTTTCACCATATTTTCTATTGTACGGCCGAGATCCAGATTTGCCATGAGCAATTCATCGTGAGTCTAGCGAGGTGGTGAACCTTGATGATCCAGATATGTGAGTGAGAGTGTGTTCTCAACGTGGAGCGCTCTTTCAGAGAGTTATGCTTGCAGCATTTGAGAACCTTGTGATTGCTCAGCACAGGGATACATTGCGGTATGCAACCATCAGGGGAGGAGGTTATCGACCATCGATTCGTAGGTTTCGTGTGGAAGACTACATCTATTTACAGCAGACTGCACCGACTACGTTGGATGTGACGGCAGGATGCACTATCTTGCGAGTGCGAGAGGTGTTACCTTCTGGAGTTCTCATGTTAGAGGGTCGTGAGGTGTTGTTTGGAAGGATCATGTGCGCAACTATGCGCCATGCCACCTCTCAAACCTTGATGGTACTATGGTTCCAAGCTTGGCGATTGTGCGTGCCGGCTTGATGTGCATGTTATGTGGGTCAACTAATCAGGCGGCCTATATGTTGGTGTGTGATAGATGTTCTAGGGGATGACACATGTCGTGCTTGACTCCACCTATCGATGTTGTTCCTACTGGACGGTGGGTTTGTCCTCGATGTACTTCATAGGGTAGATGACTTGATCTTCACATGTTATGAATTGCAGATAGGCGACTAACAATGGGGCGACATAGCACCTGGCCTACTGGTTCGCGCACCCATGAAGGTGCATAGCATGTAGTTGTAGATAGAGCTACCTGGGAGTTAGAGGAACCTGACCGCCAGCTAGGGGGGCGAGTTGTGATACCTTTGTGTGTGGACACTCTTGTTCCTTGTGTATGTATGTATGAGTTGTGAGTAGAGCATGTCAGCGATGTGTGATGTATGATGATATCGAGTCGCACGACAGCTGTCATGTGTATGCACGTTAGTGCAGTTGCAGATTGACGCTAGATTTGAGTTTGAGTCGGAAACACGTTGGGCCGTGGCAGACGGTCCAGGAACGTTGGGTTGGGTTGATGTTTCACGAAGCATATATTCGAGTTGAACTCGAAGAATTGTCAATTCTTCGAGTTGAGCCTTAGGCGTCGGATTCTTCCCATTAGCTTCGACTCTTATTCTACCTCAGGGTAGTGAGTTTGGCTCGACTCTGTCCCTTTTGTGTTTTGTTATGATCTTAGTTGTGATACCTTTGTGTGTGGACACTCTCGTTCCTTGTGTATTTATGTGTGAGTTGTGAGTAGAGCATGTCAGCGATGTATGATGTATGACGATACCGAGTCGCACGACATTATGGACAAGATATTGACAAAAGAAAAATCCATGATTAGATATGTGTTTACATTTGGTGATAGATGCATTAGTTAGAATTATATTTTGCAATACTTCATAGTTTGATAAACCATAACAGTTGACAATGTTCTCAATTTAATTGAATACATTTATCACTAAAATGAAATTAAAGCAAAATAATGTCAATCTTTATTTTGATAGTTGGAGTAAATTACATCTTGAAACAAATCTAATGATGTATAATTGAATAAAACACATCGATATCAAATACCATTTTATTAGAATATAATTTGTGATAAAATATCTTGAACTTATCAAAACTGGAAATAAATTCAATCGAAACTGATGTATTGACCAAGACTTGGTGGAGAATCTAGTAAATATTGCTTTATTTTGTAGGTTTTGCATGAGGAGAAAATTAAAGTGTATTAACATATTGACATAAATATATATTAATTTAATCAAATATAAAAAAAATTCCATTACTATGCCAACAATCATAAGTATATGTGAATAGATCTGACTATATATTGAAAAGATTTATCAAAAATTTCAAAATATACACTCAGTAAATAAGTTAGTATTTTGTAAATCTTCTAGCTTTAAACAATTTTTTAATTATTTGTATGACAAAAAGTCAGTCATTTATTTTTTAACCTAAAATGATGTTTACATTCAAGTTGTTTTATAACCTTATTGAATATTTATATATTAAGTTTTTCTATTTATAGTGATATCTTAATTGGATAATTTATGTAAAATACATATTTTTTAGCTCATCAAATAATAAATTAATATTTCACAAGACGTCAAAATATATTATATCAAAGAATAAATTAATTTTTTTGAGCCAGTTGTGAAATAACTTTGTGTTCAGAAAATCATGAAAATTTGATTACTAATATAATTCCCCAATTTTGAGATTTTACTAATTGGGGAAATATATGTATCTATGTACATATATGTACATATATAGGATATATATGTAACATATATGATGTTATATATAGTAATATAACATATACTATAGATATATAACATATATTGACTTCAAGTCAATGTTAATATGTATATACATATGTACATGTAACATACTATATGTACATATATGTACATATAGTATATCATATAGTGTATCATATAGTATATATATGTAACATGTATGGAAGTATGTTAACATGAAGAAAGTAAAGTTGGAGTACACAGTGGCACATGCATATTCCCGCCTTCCTTTGACAACCAAGCGTCGTGAGGAGATTGCGGCCGAAGCGGGGCAAGGACCCACCAAACCCATGGGACGAAGTTTCTGGACATTTCCCACACTTTTCACAAGTGATTGTCGTCAAATCCGATTGATTTACAGGCTCTGCATTTTCTGTGGGGGATAATAATTCCTTTGGACCATCGGGGCGTGCGAGGAACGAAGCGGATGCGAGCTTAACCTTTTCTTCGCCTTCTTCCGTCATAATCCAAGGTAGCGATCCGAATGCCGTGATTGCTTTTGCCTTATGATTGTTTTCTTTTCGATCAGTTGTCGTAGGGAGAAATTGCCGCTTGTTGTCAGGAGTTAGGAATTGGCGAGAGGATCTTTGTTTCTGTTTCTGTCTTACCAATGTGGTGTCTGTTTCGATAAAATGTTCTGGGAAATCCAAGTGTTGGACTGTTTGAAGGATAGTACTTGTTGAAGTGTTACAATGTGTTGGGACCCCAAGCCGTCCGTGCAGAGGATGCTACTTGCTCGTCGAATGGTGTATTTCCAGATGTTCAATTTTACCTCTTCCTGACTTCTCTCTAATTCGTGAAGAAGGTGTGTAGTTTACGTGGCTTTTGTGCGTGTAAGGAGGTATGTATGGAGAATTCATTGGAACTGTATTCGATATAAGATCATGGAAACCACAACATGTTCATTCCGCTTCTGTTCCTTCGTATAGCTTTCATGCTATGTCCTACAAGTCGTATGAGTAGTCATCTAGCAAGAGGAGGAGACCTACTGGCACCTGCGTTCGAATGGTGCTTAGGATGATTGCTACAGAAAAGGAAGAAAGTTGTTTGTTATTTCACATCATGCCCACCGATTCTGCCTTGGTACTCTAGAGTTTTATTTGATACGCCGTACTCTATGTACCTTGTTTGTTTTTTTGGTGATTTTTCTCGTTCAAGGGGTTTGTGTGTTAAACCTGCCGTCTCAGTGTGTGTAGTTTTCCACTGAGCAGCCCTGTTTGTATAAGAAAACCACCTTGTTGGCACAGACTTGTATTTGTTGTTTGCAATTTTAATTAACATTTGCCCTTTGGAGAAGCCAGTGCCACAGTTGGTCATTTAACTTCTTATGTTTCCACTAGTAAGAACTAGTGGAAACACGGAATACTCGTGAATAATTCTTGCACAGACATCAGACCTGATCGGTCGATGCTGCCATATCTTCTCTTGACAAGTGCAAGTGCAGGTTGATCCGAGGAGTTGCGATGGCCGAAAATTCATGGGACGAGCCAGACCGGCATCTATGGAGCCAGCTTCCCGAGGGGGTACTTCTAAGGATCCTGGCTTTTCTACCACTGGAAAGCTTGATGCAATGTAGAAGAGTATGTAGGAAATGGCTGGCAATGTTTAAGTGGCCTGCCTTTTTAAAAATCCGGCAACCGGAGAAGTCATGGTTTGTTTTCAGTTATTTAGGGAGCTTGTTCTTGCCCAACATGGCTCACATGCAGGCATTTTGCTACAACCCAAGTCTCAATAGATGGAATTCAATGTCATTCAGTTTTCTACCCGGAAACACAGGTATTGTGGCCGCAGCAGCCGGAGGGTTATTGCTTTGTGTAGGTATAGATAAAGAGAGCGAGATCATTAGCATGCAGCCTCACTCTACAAGCCGTGTCTCCATTTCCAAGGTTCCCTGGAACTGGAAGGATCTGTTTGTTTACAATCCTATGAAAGCAGGTTCCTGGGAGAAGCTACCCGAGAGACGTATTTCTCCAGGAGGTTCATCCCCTTCACCGATCACGATAATGGGCTTGATTGACGTTGACACGAGCGTAGGACTTTACAAGGTTGTGGTAGCAACTCACCACGGAACCGAAATATACGATTCACGTGAATGCACTTGGAGATTTGTTGACTGTCGTCCTCCTGATGAGCCCAAGATATCTCACGTCAACACTTGGACTATATCCTACAAGGGCTGCCTTGTTACCGCTGAAATCCAGCGGGGTGAACCTTACAGGATGGCTGATGGGCATCTCAGGGTGGTCGGGCATGCGGGTTATTTATGGTTGTTCAACCCAGCAGCAGAACTGTGGAGCTCGGTGCGATTGCCTGATGACTTCGTCGATGAATACATTCATCACCTTCAGATCGAAGAGTGCGAGGGTCGTCTACTGTTGGTAGGGATTCTGGGACCTTGGAAAGATGTCCTTCAGAACGGCAGGGTTCATGTTTGGGAGCATATTGGAGATGGAGACGTTTTTTCCAGAAATGGATTCTGGAAAGAACTCTGTTCCCGTTCAGTCCAGGAACTCAGGGACACTTGCATCAGAACTGGGAGTCAGGAGTGTGCCAGGTTCATCGCTGCTGCCACTTCCAGTGATCTTCTGTGCTTTGCCATGAATCGGAAGTCTTTGCGAGTGCCGACTCTGGGCATAATTGACTCAGAATCCGTCGTACTGCTGATTATGTTCATGTATAGTGTCTCCCAAAACACTTGGTGTTTGGTGGAAGAGAGGCTTGGCAAATTCGTTTCCTTTTTGGATGACCGCTCTAAAGATCGCTACATCGGGAGTCCAGCAGCAAAGAGTTTACGATTTCAACCTAGACTGGACGCAGCTGTAACCTACACATCTATATAAGAGTAACGAAGGCGGGAACCTCGTCTCAATCTCGTGTCATGACGTCTCCAGTACAAAGTACGTGTTCATCATCTCCGTAGGTGTGGCCACGCTGAGGTAGATAACTTGTTTTTTATGATCAATACCTGTTCGGTATTTGTACTCGGTTCCGTTCCAATCCATTTGGGCCATGGATATCGTCGTGCTGTTGCTCACTGCGTTGACTTAGGTTTCTTAAGTAAGTTGGAGTATTCTTCAAAGAAACTCAGTTTTACTGTCTTCAAAGAGCTCTTTCTTGGTTGGTTTGTCGCAAACATCCTGTCTATAGGTATAATCTTTGCGACAATGTCCTCGTAAAGATATGCCTGTTTTTTGGGGCTGAAGCTGAACATAGTGGGACATGGTTGGAGTCGAAATGCAAACTTCGTTAAGTCCCTTATTCCTGATGGTCAGTGTTGTGCAGAATAAGTCTCATAAGGACAGTAAACTGCGCGACTTCGAGGTGTTCCAGGCGCACACATCTAGTATTATGATACATATCCATAACATCATGCGAAAAGGTTATGGATGTATGACGATCCGCACGTTCCCTCAGCAGCATACGAAAGGAATAGCAGGTAAGTGTTAAGAGCAGGGCATGTGCCGTGTGCTCCTTGAAACGAAAATGTGCCGCATAACTGAATATTTATGTAATACTTAGTTCACATACAGCCATATAGACCATGGACTATCTACTTACACAATTACATAGAAAGGTAGAAATACTCCCGTGGTGGGAAATGTGTTGGCGTTCCTATCACAGTTGTAGTCTGTGAAGGCCTTACGCCCTTCTCAGTACATGTGCTCTCTTGTATGAGCTGAGTCGATTGATGTTGTAGAAAGCCGTTCACGGTGGTTTTCTTCGACACAGATCTCGTTTGATCCTGAACATTACTTAGATCAAGAACAAAGTTTCACGAAGGAAAGGCAGATAGTAGGCCTAGAGTAACCTGGGATGTTCACCAGTAACGTGCAACAGGTAGCATATTTATGCTCATTTCTAAAACTTTCATGCCATAGAATAGGTGGTCATTCTCTACGCACCTTCAAATGGCTCCAATGCCAGAAACAGATGGAACCGCTTGCGCTAACCCTTGTTTCCGTTCGGTCCGATTTTTGTGCAGGCTAATCGCCAAAGCTGAATGTGGTACGGGGAAAAGTGGATATAGTAAACCCTGACAAATGACATAAATTAGTTTCGTTTGAGCATGTCTTGCCTACGAGGTCAGGTACACTAGGTTCACCAGTTAGAAACCGTCGCTTTTGTAATGGGATGCGCGAAACTATATGCTGATTCAGCGGCAGCAAGTTAACGTATGTACAAAACACTTGTCTAAGTTCTACGCAGGTTCACAGGTGAGCTTCACAGGCGCGCATTCTCGTAAAGAAGATGACATGAGCTCTGATGATTAAGATTTTACAAAGATCGGTCGGAGCAATATGACGACGTACAGACTCTCTCCATCGTTCAGCTTGTGCTCACATACAAGAGACTCTGTACTTTGATCTCGTTGTTCGTGAAGAGGAAAAAAGAATATTACTTGTTACAATAAATCTTCTAAGTCAACTCGCTTCACCAGTGTCTGGAACTTCTTCCAGAATCAATCAAGTTTCGGTTGTGACACTTGAGTAGAAGTAAGATATTGAACGTCGCCGACTTTTAAACATGCCGGATTTCTTGGTGGATTGCTTTGAACCGACACGATATGTATTCAAGCTGCGAGAAGGATGGAAGTAAATTTCGAACTGTGCCAAGCCTTGGCAGGCGGTGACTGCACGTACTTGCATGTACAGTCACAAGTGGTATCGGTCTTTTCTTTTGAGCTGGATATGACCTGTGGTAAGATTACCCTTCCGTGGTAAGATTCTGTCTCTTCTGTCGGAAGCTTGGGAAGGATGGTTATGAGACTACGGTCCAGCATGGGAGGGAACTGAATCGTTATCCAACTCAGTAGTTTTGCAAGATACTCTGTTCTTCTGGATCTGGATTGAGCGTCTGGATCCTGCGTTACATGGCACTCAGGAGTCGTGAATCTGGGCAAATACTTGACAGCCTTCTATCTCAAACACATACGCGACAGTCTCCCCGTCGGTTGACCACATGGCCGTCGTGACGATTTGAAGTGATGGATTCCTTCGAAGGAATCCAATCACTTCAAATCTCTTCGTTGAACACTAACAAGGAAATCGCATCAGATGACGCACTCTGTCTCGTAGTGTACGATATGAAGAAGAGCAATAGATCTTTCACCAAACTGGACTTAATCTTAAGCTTTGAGAATTGTGCATCGATCAAAATAGCCACCAGTTGGTGTCCCGTTCTTCGGCGGACTTTCGCTGAATGTTATTTCTCATTTGTGTTGGTAAAACCCAAGCCCGCAACACTTCGCCGTGGCAGATCGCAACGCAGCAACCAACATGTCTCCAAGCCATGTACTTGTCATGGGTCTGGTCTAAGTCCACTTGAAAGGGCTAACAGGCATCGTTCAATCTAGCTTCGAAGGATAGTCTGCAATTCCACCCGGAGTTTGGAGTCCGAGCTTTACGGAAGTACAGACAGACAATTATCTGAGTCACCTAGAAATGCGTAGTATGAACAATGGTTCTAACGCTTTGCTGCTTGTCCTTGTTTGGTTTTTTCTCACGTAACTGTGGCTGTTCTGCCGTGTCGATGGCTGAACGATGCTCGTGTCACGATCGCTACGACTGATAAAATCCTCGTTAGCGGCCTTGGTACCTTGGATTGTCCCTTGAAGTTGCTCTGCGTCGAGATACTGGCAAGTATGGGCTCACCACACAGGCCCAGGCACCGCTTTGTCGCCGGTAAAGCTGGGCACCACTTGAACGTGTATAGATGCGCTACGACATCGGGCGCCATCGTCGATACCTTACCAGGGCTGCAAGTCTTCTGCACAGCCCGATAAGCGCGACGAGTCTCCCGAATGAGCAGAACCTGATCATCAGATGTAAGATTGAAGAGCCCCATCGCAGTTTCTCGTCTGGGGAAGAGCACAATCCATCCAGGATAAAGTGCACATTCACAAGGAGAATTCTACACCAGGACGACAAGGAAGCCACGTGGCTCTTGCATTGGCAAGCTCCTTCGGCATCCCGAACCTCATCGCTGCTGAAAGAACATTCCAGCTACGAGTAGCATACGGAACGCTACTCTAATAGGATATAGAACCGATACGGACTAGCAAGGCCTCGATCCTGCGGATGCTCGCTCGAAGATCCGATCGACTCAGAGAACCCTCTCGTCCATGTGGACTAGAAAGAGCTGCTCCAGAAAAGCGAGGAAACCTCCAACAATGTCGAAGAAGTCTGTAGTCCTCATCGAGGGTGCGCTGATCAAGCTCGTTGCCCGTCATTGTAGACAGGTTTGCACTCGCACTCACCCCCAAACGGTAAAATTACTCCATCGAAAAATATACCCATACCCTCGGAGACCGGACTGTGGGAACCGATCCCGGTGTGTCGGTCATGATCGTGTGCACTAAGTGTTGATGCGGTTCGCATGTGAGGAGTGAGCATTGCGCAGTTACAGTTCGGAGTCTTTGGGAAATTGTGATCTGGGAAGGGAATCATCGCCGTCTTTGTCCCGACCGAGACGTCCCGGCGATGACCGTTGGCCAGATCAGGCTCCCCGAGACGGAAAACAAATCCTCCATCAATTCGAAATAGTTGCGCGCCCGCTCCAGCTCCAGCTCCAGCTCCCGCGGCAGGTCCGGAGGGTGCGAGAGGAAGCACCGTCGTTGCGGGTTTGTCTCTAGTCCATGGCTTGGGTTGATTCGCCGTCCCCGTCTGCGAGCTGGATCGTGAAGGAATCAGCCCAATCTCACCAGCGGCCGGTGATGAGAAGATCTCCTGTGTCGCGAAATGGAAGAAATTGAGAAGGAGATGGAATCCGCTGATGCACGCGACGGTGATCCTGATTTGCACTGGTGCAGATGAATGACATGGGGTTTGACAACAATACACGACACGAGCGTGAGATCCAGGACTCATATAGATTACTGGTCCGTCATAGAGGTGCACGAGAGTCATGATCAGATGATTTCCTGAACTGCATGTTCCACTGTTCTGTTCTGGATCTGGCGAATCAGGTCTTCAGATTTTCCAATTCCCAACTGTGATTGCTCAAGCTTCATCTTGACATAGTCCCACTCATTTCCTGCCGACAGACTGGGGTCAGAACTGGGCGTAGAAGTAGATTTAGTCGTTTCCTCTGTTAGCTCTAAGCATTCTTTGTCGCGCCACAGGCTCGAGTCAAAGTCTACACCAGGAAATGATCGACAGTTTCAGAATATGAAGCGCTCCGGAGAAAGAAGCATCAGTTTTGCCTGCACCCTTCAAGTTCGGGTCATTAAAATTTGCCCGGCAGTCTAGGTCGTTCCTCTGGACGTGAAAGGACTGAAAGCGAGTTCCAGCCATCCAGACAGCACGAGTGGATTTCTGGTGTTCCTGTACGCGGTCAGTCGGTGCCGTGAAGAATATATCTCACCTGGAAAAGTGAATATTTGGTTACCCTTCGTCGAATGCTGCGCTGACAAAAAGTGAAGCTGAAGTGGCGAGTTTGTCGATGGCTGTACGGTTAAAAACTCTCGGAAGAACGGTCTTTCCAGCTATCGCATGCCGCCATTCCTCTCCGATTCTAGCAAAAGCAAGTGCGTACGATGCTCAAATGGGGGATGACTCACACATTCACAGAATCTATCTCAACCTGATACGAGGCAGGTGATGATCATCAGTCTGGAGACTTTCTCTCCGATGTTCTGCTTTTGGTGGACGTCAAAACTCTGTCATGATTATTAATGACCAACCGTCGATCATCTCATCACAGCGCAGTATGGATGAAAAGTGTCAGCATGAATGAAAGCATATTTCAGTGCGTTCCACTGTCAAACCATGTAAACGTGGTGGTTGCCACGAACCTTCCGAAAGAAAATTTTTAGAGAAGCCTTGGATAAGCGTTTCATCCTGGCATGCCTTATCATCAGTGTCCTATCATCCTGACGCACATCCTCTGTAGCATTCAGGTGTGGGGCAGGTGAGAGTAGAGCACATTGTGACGATCTCATGCAACGTGATCATAGCAAAGCTTAAAGGACTGGATTCAATGTCCGGCGAAAGGGATTTTCATTTGTATAATTTGTATTCATTCAATTTTTGAGCAGCAAGCTGCTGAAAAAGAGAGCTATGACGCGACGAAGTTGTGTATCGATCCGTGTTCTCCGCCTTGTGCGATAGACCTTGTAAATATATTATCTTTAATCTCTATTATATATTTGAATATATGTGTATACATCTCGTGATATGCAGGTTGCGTTCAATATTCAGCTGAATTAGCCATGTGATGAGAATGAACATAGAACCCTCAATAGCATTAGGGTGAGACAAAAAATTTCACATTGGAACTGCCTAAAAAACCACGTGCAGAAAAAAATGCTGGGAACTTCAATGCTTTAAGATGATATTAAATTAATAAGCTTCTGAGTCAACGAGTTTCCTTATGGACAAGGTCGTGTACACGCCAATATGGAGTCCCAAATGTACTGGTAGGTACTGTAGGATATGCAGTTCCTTTTAACACCTGTACACTGCTTCGGTGCTTGACAACCCTCCCAAATTATCGCGACGGATTTGAAGAGTTGCCCAACCCGGCTTTCAAAATTTACCGATCACTCGTTATCACCTGCAGTAAGGAAAGTACGATGACGGTCAAAATTTCCAATCGCCTGATAAATGCCGTGAAGGAAATCTACACAAGAAGTTAGTAAGTATTATGTTGCGCAGTCTGCTGTGCCGACGGCCAAGTTATTTGGGGTCTAGCTTTCATGTCGAGGCTACCATTCATTGGTGGTGTGACCCTCTCGCAGTTGATGGTCTGCAGAACTGGTGATGTACATAAAATCGGCTGGCCCTCTGGTGACTTTTACTTCCGATTTCGACAGACTGGACTAATTCGGGCTTGTTCACGGACGCAATGTCGACGACTGTGCAGGGCTTCGAAAACACAGACAGCTGGATCTAGTAGGCTCCAGATTTGCCTCCGGGGAGAATCAGTGAAAAGACGTCGTGCAGGCTCCAGGATGATGCATGCGGTTCCTACAGCAGCTTTGCTGCAGACGAGATATTTGAACCAAGTGGTATGTATGCCAAACAAGGCATTCACTTAGAGGAAGCTTCAGGTGCTCCCGGCCAAGTACCACTGCTAGAATCTTGTCGATTTCGCGGGCTCTATGATTCTTCCATCCTTGTTAGGGAACCATGAATCGAACTCCACGTATCCGCCAGCGAGTAAGACGAGAAGAGAAGCCTCGCGCATTTTGCACGATAATTCTGCTCAGTCTTCACTGCATGCTCCACAAGTTCTCTCGTTCCATGATGTGCCTGTCCATGGTCATATTCCTTTTCCACCAGCATCCTCTCGAATCGAGGGCCGGCGACCTTAGCTCGCCGGTAAGTTAGGTTCAGACAAACCGGCCTCGCATCCTCGTCTCCTGGAAGCATCGGCTATAGCATTTGTCCGACATGTGCCCATGTCCTGCCGGCTAACTTTCCCGGGCCGGTGGAGTTCCCCAGTCTCGGCCCGGCTTGGAGGCGTCGGGAAGTTGTTATGTGGGTTGAAGAAGTTGTTTTATCGGGCCATAGCTGCTGACCGAGAAGGACGGAATGCTTGATGGCAGGATGGCAACATGTTCGGCCACGTGGGTTCTTCAGAACAGCCTTCCCAACAAGCAATCGGTCGAAGTTCTGCAGCATGGGATCCTAACTAGACCTTCTAAAAACTATAGAAATTAAGAATATAAATGAAAAAGCTCTGCACACACTGTGGTGCGCTGATTATGGCTTGTGATGCCACCTCGGCAGACACATGGAGCTGCGCCACGTGGTGCATCGACAGGTTCGTTCAACTCGACGGAGTCCCAGTTGTCCGCTGAATGCCGGCATCGCTTCATCGCCCGGCTGGCGGACCTGTTCCCGACTCTCGTTCCGGTCTCGGAGGTCGATGCCCGGTCAGACGGGTGATCTCAGGCCGTAGATGAAGCACTCCGACGGTCGAAAGACACCGGAACGCGGGGCCCTGGTCGTGGGAGAAGTCGCGACGACGGACGGGAAGCGGGAACACGGCGGACGCCGAGGGACAGGTCAGCGACGGAGAGTCGGGCGACAGCGGTGTTCAAAGAGAGGGGGGCGAGGCCGAGAAAGCAGTGGAGACATGAGCCGGGCGATGGCAATTGCGCCGTGATCGTGATCGTTTCGCTACAATTCAAAGCGTGAGGAGTACGAAGCGCTCGAGCGCTGCGCGACAGGCTGCCGTCGCGAGTCGAGTGACGACGAACCGTCCCCGCGCACTGACTGTTTGGTGCCCCTTTGTGTGTGTGCGTGCCTGTGTCTATTTTTGCTCTTGCACTGCAGCGCCCAGAGCCGAGGAGGAGCATCTCGTCGCGTCCTGCGGGAGTCGGATTGCTTTCGGAGCTTTCCGTGGGTTATAAAGCCCCCGACGCTCTCCTCCGATCCATCCGCGGAAGTATCTCGGATCCGCGCTCTTCAGCAGCATCTCCGGCCTTATCTTCCGAACCATCACAAGCCGAGAGTGTAACGCTTGTGTGCATGAATTGTGAGCTGGAATGCTGTCTGCCGGTTTGTTAGTGGCATTAGCTGACGCTGTGTGAGACGGTTTGTTCTTGAGCCCGAGAAATCGCATGATCTTACGAGAAAGAACGAGCTCGTTCATAACGAAATCCCGTAGACTCGCAAGGAGTTGAAGTGAGCACTCGAAGGGGTGAACTGGGAGAGGAGAGATGGAGGCCATTACTGGTCTAGCTCAAAGTAAGAGAAATGGGAAAAACGAATCGCCCTGGGTCTCTGTTTTCAATCTCTGTAATGCTGCCATCGGAGCTGGAGTGCTTTCCTTCCCATACGGTTTCAGGTGGGTGATCTTCCAGCCGCGCCATTCAGCGGATTCCATCCGCATTCCTTCCTTCACTTGTATTGGATCAGTTGATGACCGTATTCTCCTGGAACGACTTTTTGGTGCTCTTGTTTGAATATGAGGCAAGGGACTCGGTGTGAGCTGCCGTCATCGAAATCAGCTGAATGCTTTCATATCCTCATTTTTAATTTTCAGCATAGTATGACACAAAATACTGTGAGAATCTGAAGGAATCTCTTGAAGAGTGCTGCCCAAGAGCCCCAAGATTTCAGTCGGTTGTCTCAGATGAAAGAGCATCCTTTTCCCTTGGAGACAAAGGATAGAACTAATCTGGTCCGGTTCCATAGTCCAATCAATCGCATGCTATTTTGACAGTGCCTTTGTAGCTTGGAGAGTTCAAATTCCTAACTTCACACGGTTTACTCTTCACTGCTTATAGGAAACAGGAACCTCTATTGTGAAAGTATCGTTGTGGAATCATGCCCTTTGAGTTGATCTCCGTTAAACCCGACGGGTCTAGCTGATACTTAAAACTTTTTCCCGTGCCCCTCAAGGAACACAACAATATTTGGACCCCACCAGCAAGGCCAAGCTGACACCATAGCCAATCTTATGTGAATTTGTCCTACGTCGGGTCAATTATTAATGTAGCGTAGTCTCCTGCTCCGGGGGTGAATTTTAAGTAGGGAGGCTTTTGGCAGAATGTAAGGAAAGTCGCATCGAGGATGAATGTCTGTAATTTGAATGGAAGAGTTTTGGTGTCGTAGCACATACGTCGATTTCAGAATTTTAACAAGTTTTCCGATGGTGTGCGCAGGCAAACCGGTGTTGTGGGAGGTTTATTTTTCACGGGTATTATTTGGGTTATCGAGGTTTTTGCTTTGTGCCTCCTAGTTAGAGTTGCAGAAAAATATAACTCGCAATCTTATCAGGTAAAGTTTTTGTGCGAAAAGTGTCATTTCAAATTTCCTTACTTTTTGTCCAGTATGGTCTCGTTAACTTTGAAACTCCTTCTTTCGATTTATGCCAAATTTCTTGTAACAACAGAAGACAATGATTGGCATGTTTGCAAAAGCTTGTACCATGCATTCTCCCATGATTATCGTTTGTCAGGTTTTTGATCAGATTACGGTTGATTCACAAGTTCAATTTAAGGCTCGTCATGATGCGCTTATTTGTTGCCAACGGCTTGTTGTCCATGGTTGTACTGTACTGTTAATAGCTCGCAGTTTTATCGTATACTGATATAATTTTCTTGCAAGAGGGGCTTATGAATTAAGTTTGTTATCTCAACAAACGATTCTGCTCCAAAACCGTTCTCGATACTAACGATATTTCTTAGAGCCGTCCTAGCTCTTGGCCAGAATTTGTTATCTCAACAAATGAGGCTGTAACGATGTATGAATAATTTATGCTTGTTGGATGCTTAGACTGCAGGGTTGTAGTTCTGACGGCTCGTAGAGCAACTGGCCCCAAGAAAATCTGGCACTAATAACTGCGTGCCTTTTACAGCAATTGGTACTCTCAGTACTCGGGTCCAAAATGGCTATTATCACTTCTGTGACCATGATCACATTCTTGATCGGGTCAATGATCTCCTACCTGATCATTACAGGTACTCTCCTCAAAGCAGACATCAGTTCAGATATGACTGGATATTGGAGATCAAAGAAACCAAACCCTACAAGACATGAACTATTCTGGCACCAACACACAAGAGTTCACCGATCTGTGCCTTTTCCATCTATAAGACCCCACGTTGAAACCTGATTCTCACAACGACCGGATGAATCTTAACTGATCCAGCTGGTCGTAATGATCCAACTGGCCGTAGTATGCATTTGACAATGGGTTTGGTTTTGTCTGGAACTTCTTGTTCTTCCTCCGAAGTCTCTGCCCAATCATTCTGTGGTTAGAAGGATAAGTTGTCGAGTGCATGAATCTACATAATCGTAGGCCCACTGGTCAAATTACTTGTACACGACCTTCAAGCAATTACTGCTGGCTGTGTCTCCTTCGTATACATAGTGAAAGGATTCGTGCGTTGAGATGGTCGCCTGAAACTTCCTCTTTCAGTCGCCTCACCTCTGCCTGCTGATTGGAAAAGCTGAAATTCTGATAGATGTTTTGAGTCTGAGAAATGGGATGAGTCCTTACGTTTCTCCCACTAAAACTTGCATAATCGTTTCCAGCAAATGGTGCTTTCCGCCTTGGGGCCCAATATGGCTGTTCTTACTTCTTTGGTCATGCTCATTTTACTGTATGGTGGCGGTATCTCATATCTGCTCATCACAGGTAAACGTTAGTATTGTCGTCCTGCGTGTACTGGAAAATGCGTGCGCTAGCTGCTATTCCAGTACACGCACGATGTGCAGTAAGTAGACCCATATCCTCTCTTTGGAATTCCTTCTGTCAGCTAGCTCATCCAGCAAGATAGTCTTTTCAGCTGCTTCTTCCACGGACAGAGTTCACGTTATTGCTTGGCTGTATTTTCAGGAGATGTCTTCGAACCTGTTTTTGCTGATCTCTTTGGGGAGAGCTCATATTTGGCGAATCGCAGGCAATCAAACTCTCGACCTTGAAAATGGGAACTGGGGCCATTGAAAAGTATTCTACTAGAGTCACGCGATAGGGTCATTGGTTTTCTTTGAGGAATGTAGTCGCTTAGACGAACTTACGCAGTGAACATTTCAAAGACTTGTTCGTTACGTTTGATCAGTTTATCAATGGGGCTCGGATGAATGTGTGTCTGAAGCCTGATGAATTTTCATGCTTGTACTACAGAGTCGTGATACTCTTCTTTGCCTTCGTGGTGATCTTGCCACTGGCTATGAAGACCACCTTGAAAGCACTCAAATACAGCAGCGTTATATCAGTAAGTGTGCTTTCTCCATACGTGTTTCGGCCTTTCTTGGTTCATGACGCTCTTATAGGCATATATTTTCTGGTCTTCTAACCTCCTATGTCCAGAACAATTGAATGTCTAAGATGGTCAAACAGAAGAAAAGACAGGAAACTTTGTGAGGACAGTGAAATCAAGAGGAGTTTCCAGAAGTGCTCTTACACGCTTATTCAGCACTATGTGCTCCCTTCTGAAGCAGCTAGTAAATTCTAGATAGCTGTTCGTACCTGCTCAATGGTAGATACAATTGTCAAAAGTTTACCATAAACCTTGCAACAAATCTCTCGGTCATTCACTTCATACCTCATGTTTCGATGTTTAATGGAGTGCGCAGATCGTAATGCTCACGTACCTGACTATTGCGCTGGTGATTATTGGGATCAGCAGTCTGATCTCCAAGGGCTTTCCGTCTGATGTAAGATTGTTAAAATTCTTTTGTTGATTGTCAAATAAGTGTAACATAGTTTTTCATGACCATATAGTAAGATTGTAATCTTTTAGTATACGATATTGAATTTCTTCTACCCTCCTCTCTGGTTCCTTAGCTGGCTACAGACCATACATCAAGTGAGTGCATGTGCTAAGAACTAATTGTTGCATCTCAGATATTGGTATGGCGAGCTGGACAGCATGCGTTCATAATCATAGACATCGTCGTCTTTGCCTTCCAGTGCCATATCCAGGTGAGTTTGAATGGTGAGGTCTGGCAGGCTCTTCTTTACAGTCAACTGTATGCTTGGTGCGGTTCAGAACTGACTGCAAGGTTTACAGTATCATTTCATTCTACGCTAACGTAGCTAGTTCGTGCCACAGGTTGTTCCGATTTTCGCCGAGCTTGCCGAAATGCCGAAACCCTTTTTCGGCAATGGAAAAGGGCCACTTGAGGAGCGCCTCCTGGATGATGAAGTTTTATCGCAAGTAACTTCTAGACAAAGATCAGAACGAGTGAAGAGGATGGATGCGGTTATTTTTGTGTCCATGTCAATCTGCCTCATCGGTTACTGCATGGTACCCTCTTACCACGATCTCTTTCAAAACTGGTGAAACTACTCATTGACTGTTCTCGCTCAACACGACCTGATTTCATCGCTCAATTGAGAATAGAGTGCTCTTGTCCTGAAAGTTCTCTTTTCACTGCGGACAGGTTGGAGAATTTGGATACCTGATTTTTCCAGATGTTGATAGCGACGTCTTGAAGAATTTCGGCAACGCCAACGTGTTCATGAATTTTGCTCGCATCGGCATGGCTGTAGTAAGAAACTTACCTTACCGCTGGGTCTCTGGGTTCACTGCAAATATGTATTCTGGATGCCCTCCACTTCATGTCTGAAGTTGTCATCTTCTTTTTTCCAGTGAAGGCATCCCTCACACAAGGGGGGAAGTCAAGGGTATTTTTGAGGGGCTAGTTAGACATATGGCAGTAGGAACCAATCAGAATACTCGTTTGTCTTGGCCCACGAATTTTTGTGATCGCTTTCTCACGCAGTTTATTTTCTGTATGTTTAACACAGGTAGCAATGGTCTGCTATCCACTGCAATCGCATCCTGCTCGATCAATTGTTGATGACGCTTACAAAGCAATATCCAAAGCACCTGTACATGCCTTCTCCTGGACACGGCACATTGTAATTACTCTAATATTCTTCGTGTCCACTCTGGCCGTAGCACTCATCATAAGCGATCTCGGAACGGTATGGTCCCCATCCACGCGCATACCATGTTTGTTATCTGTCAACAGAAAGGTCTGCCCCTATATGTCTGTGCTTACTGTAGTGAAATCTTCAAATCAAGCACTTGATGCTGTCAATCAAATATGCCTCAAATAACAGCTTTATCCATGTTACTTACACTTGTATGCATGAGCGGGTACAATTGCAGGTGTTCTCAATAGTGGGCTCCACAGGAGGTGTCATGGTTGTATTTATCATTCCTGGAGTACTTCTGATCAGAGGCATATACAGTCCACCCGTTGGATATGTTCAACAAACTATAGATGAAGAGGAGGCTGTGAAGCTGAGCACGAGCACGAGAACCGGATCCCAAAAGTGTGTACAAATTGTTGGAGGCACTCTAATCATAGCTTTTGGGTTGCTTATCTTTTCCGCCACATCCTATGTAACTGCCACAGGAATGATTAGCTAGATTACATCTCTTCCATTCATCACCATCGCAATCAGTAATCCCTTTGTTATGATTCTATATTCAAGCGGTAATGCGCTTCAAGGTCTTTCACACTTGGAGCACTTGCCACCATCTTTCACCACTCGCATCCATCTCCAGGGCCTATGATTGAAATTATGTGCTTGCAAACAATCATGAAACTCGGTTGTATAGAATGCCACAAAGAAAGTGCCCACTGGCTGCCATGAAGAAGAAAGAATGAACATTCAGAAAATATTTAACCCGACAACCAACTCATCAAACAAACAAAATGGAAGTAGAACTGATTTGTGAAGGCGCGACCACTTATACAGTCGGGAATGGCAAAGAACCCTACGTCTCGAGATTGCGCGCACGAATTGAAGTCCGGTTGTAAGGATCCGACTGTCGTAGAAACACGTGGTCAAAAAATTGGAATTGATGCCCGCTAGATCAGAGCACCAGAAATCTCCTGTCTTGCTATCCTTCAGATGTGCGCTCTTTCATGAAGTTCTGTGGTGGCAAATCAGCAGAATACTATGACTCCAAATTGGTCCCGTTTCAAATGCCTTCAGTTTCACCAAGAGTCAACAGAAGACGCCTCTCCAACTCATGCGCTGAGCGATCTTGATTCCAAGCAGTGCAGCGAATTAAGCTCCGACGAATCTGACCACTACAAATCATTTCTCAAACTCCCTCCTCTTACAAGAATTATTGAGTATTCTTGATTTCCTATTCACGCGACATTCAGATTCATAACAGCAACAATACGTGCGCCGCAGAAAAAGAAAAGAAACGATTTATTAAAATTTAACACTACCGAGAGATCATGGACTAGTTGTGACAGTAGAGAAATTTCTTATATGTTAGATATCTGAGACAAATAAAACGAATTTGTGAAGAATGCGGCCTAAGCTCCCGGCGGTAAGAGGCCCGCAACTGTCAACTTTCCGGGCTGACAGACGGCGCTCTTGCCGGAAATTGCAGAACTGCGGCAACTGTCAATTCAGCCGCTGGAACGAATCGCAATTGAGGGATGAAACGGATGCTTTGCAGCTGTTCGCGTTGGTTTTGTGAAACACCTTCCGGCCTTCTTTGTTAACCATCTTTTCTATCGTCCATGTTATTACGGCTGAAATGATCGGTCTTCTGAATTATGGCTGACATGAATATAACCTTATAATCTAAAATACAACGATTTTGTAAGCAGCAAGATTGTGGTGCAAGTTAGCGCAGATTATATGACAAGCTCAAAGAGACAATTGAATCATTGGACTTAGATGTCTAGACGGTAAATACTTTCTCAAAAAAATTAAGTTTCTTGATCACCTTTGGACGAAGTTACAAATTAATATCTTTAAAGATATGAAAATATTAATGAATGTAAAATCTGGAGTTATATTTCTAGACTCCACTTGCCATAATTAATCTGGCCAATATTCAGAGACACGGAAGACGGGAGGAGGAAGTTAGGGTAGCAATGCTTGATCCCTAGACAGACTGTGAGTGCATTTGCTCGTGACCTGCTGATCTCGAACCCTACTTGTGCTTCTGGGTGCCTAGTTTTTTGGTCGTTCGAAGTTAGCAGGAGAGCAAGTTGTGCGCAAAATAGTTATCCAAATTTGTGGCAGTTCGAAGTCCTCAAGAGAGCAAGTTTCCAAGTTAACAGGAGAGCAAGTTGCGCGCTAAAGGTTATCCAAAATTTTGGTAGTTTGAAGACAGTAGGAGAGCAAGTTGCACAGGAAAGAGAAGAAGTAAGAAAAATACAGCTCATTTACATTTTTATTTTTTTTACTTTACTCCTTTCATATCATTTTTTTGTAACATAATTGTTTTTTATCATTGTGAGTTTTTTTCCGGTCTCAGAACTTTCCATCAGATTAAAACCCTTCCAGTAATAAAATATATTTCATGTCACTTTGTCTATAGTTCAGCTGAAGTTGTAAATTCTAATGAATTCGTGCAAAAAAAGAATTCAACCACCCCTTCATTACGTCGTGAGTTCAATTTTGGCACCATTGTTGAGATCGAGAAAAACAACCAATAACTAATCTGATGAGTCCTGTCAAGCAGTTATTGTTGAACTTGGCACAATTCAGACTTGAAATGGAATTTTTTTTTTTTTTAAAGTAGCTCAGGTTGCATGTTGTACATCATTGACAAGCAGGCCGTTTCATACAAGATGATTTTGTTTCTAACTATCAGAGTTAACTAATAAAGCTTTTGAGTTTCTTGTGTGTGTCACCTGTAACTATCATCGTCTTTAATCAAATGATATGCATATGTTGATTTTCATTCTACTTATTGTATACATTTTCTAATGGGAGTGGCTAGTTATACCTCACTTTGGGCTACTTAGCCCTCACCCTAGTACAATATATGGTCGTCTAGGATTGATCCAAAGTTATAAGTGTCAGTGTGTTAAGTTTATGGCTCTTCTAACATGGCTGGACTCCTCGCACGCCACTATACCCACTGTTGTGTACTGCCCACACCTCTGCTGGTCCTCCTGTTGGTCTGCTCTGATCTGACGTAATGCTTGCGACTGCCGCTGGCTTGAATGTTGATTGCAATGATATCAAAATGAAAAGCTCAAGTCCAAATTCTTACATGAAATTCTGTTCATAAGATTCGAGATGATAATCTGGATAAATTACGACCATGACGCTATGCTTGCCACACTTACCAACTTCTGGCTAGATCAACCCCGACCGTATCCCATCCGTGCGGACGGCAAGGGTACACCGTTTGCGGTTCACCGTCATCGTCACCCATGGTTTAGCATTTCGCACAAATTTAGCATTTCGTGCGCTCAGTCTCTTACTCAGACAGAATGTTCGTGCGAGTTTTTCACGAAACATATCAGTGGACAAGCCTGTATCAGAAGAAGAAGTGCGAGTTTTGTCTCGTAGACAGTCAACAGATGCGATTGCAGATCCATCCTCTGCAATCTAACCTTGCGTGGCATGAGAGATCGGAGAATTCATGATGTTATCAGACCGAGAGAAGCAGAACAAGAGATGTAGCTCGATGTCATAGGGATGAAGTCGAAGCAGGTTATGATCATCGACCCCGTGCAGGTTTCACTGAAGACACTCATGATGGTAAATTGAGCCAACATATGGTCGGGGACTCAGGGTTGGCAAGTTGGTGATACCTAAGTTTCCAAGTTTTTGTTTTCTAGGTTTTATTGCTTGTGGAAAGTTTAGAAAGAGCCGATGTTGAAGTTTTGATACCTAACTCGTTCGCGCATTTCTCAATTTGTAGTGTACATCTCCTGATACCTTCAAGTCACAATTTTTCAGATGAGAATGCATCTCACATGAATGGCCTGATTGAGTGTCAAACTATCAATACCTATTTCAGTCAAACTATCGATGAACTTCAAAGTACTTCAATCTATTTTTTATTATGTTGATCGCAGCTCAATTGATTGGGTTATGACTGAAGCTAGTACTTAGCTTCTGAATTTTATCTTTTCTTCAATCTCAGAGATACTTCTTAAAATCTCATTATGAGAGAGATACTGCTCACCGTCAAATTGGCCTTTCTTCTTACTTCTTCTTTCATACCGCGTACCCCTTCCTTCTAATGCTATCTTGTCATCTAGCACTATCACCCCTCAGCCAAGGCTCCAGGTGCATGTTATACTAGGCTGTGATTGTCAATATTTTTGACAAAGTCTGAAGTTTTTTTTTTCCTACTAACCTACTGTATGTGCTTAGAACTATGGTTCTTCGTTTTCACTGTTGTTTTTCACTTCAACTACATCATCGGGTGCAACATAACGATAATCGCACTTATCTCCCAGGTTGCGTTTCGGATTGGTGATTTCAAGAAGCAAGTAATTTTTTTAGGGGTCTCAAAGATGTCCTCCTTGCTACAGAGTAAGTACACTATCAGACTCTGTACTATGAATTTTTTTACACATTCTTTGTACATTTGCGGAGTGAATGTCAGCAGTGAGATTCCTGCCTTCCTTTTTTCTGCCTGAATTTGAACTTTGGAATTCCGAATTCGAAGGACAGTACGGTCTATCATAACTCGCTGGTTACTATTCTGCATGGACTTGAGTGAGCGGTCAACTTGGATTGCTGATAAAATGCTTATTGTCCATTGTACGGACAATTAATGTTTACATCAACATTGGTGGTGCGACCATAGAGCACAGTTATAATTAGAGCTTTGTTTTTGAAAAGATCGAGATATAGGGTAATGTGATCATAATTTGATCATGTTATTCGTTTTTTTCAGCTATGTCAAACCCTTAGCAGATGCCCTTCTAGATGAGTAGTGCTATCTCGTACAGCCGTAACTGTCATCATCATACACTGGATACGGTCAATCAAGTCTCATGCAGGTTCAACTCTCCACTCTCGCGCCTCACGTTCAAACTTAACAGAGGGTGACCAGTTTCTATATGCAACTTGATTTATAACATCAAGAGCAGGAACTGGCATATTCTTCCTTTTCATTTCAGCTGTTGTTCAGATTTAGGCTCATTTTAACCACATCTTCAGTGTTCAGTTGTTGTTATCTGATTCCATGCTTATACTATTGGCTGTTTAGTCAAAGTTTGAAGGCTATTAAGAGAAATTTAGACCTAACTTGTATTTAAATACTTTGGACTTTCCAGGATACAGCGAAAATAGAGAAACTAATTTATTTCCTTATAAATGAAGAAGCGTCCCAAGGAGTAATGATGATGGGCCATAGCACTGGATGTCAGGTTTTCCATCTCAACCACTAATGTATCATGTGTCTTAACAGGTGTGGCTCCCATCTACTCAGCGCACAAGGCATTTTAACTAATTCAGATATGAATTAGTTTTATGTCTTGCTTCACGAAATTTGTCCTTAAATTGTGTACTTTAACTATGTCTGCTACAGAATATCGTTCACTATCTAAGAAGAGGAAGTAGTTGCTCAAAGGCTGTACGAGGAGGTATATTACACATATAATGAGAAACAGAAATCATTGCTCAATCGTCACATATCTGGCTGTGTGAACTGTTGCTTGCTCTTTCATTCCTTGCTGTTGAGGTTCTTACTAGTTGCT